AGTGAGGATATGGAAAATACGCCACTCGAGTCCCGGATGTGGTTTCATATGAATTTTACGAGTGGTGTATTTTCCAGTACACACTCGTGCCTATATAATAAATCGTGTTATTTCCATAATATCGAGTGCTAACACCGTAAACAGGGTCTTTCAGGCTAATCGGAGTGAAAGTCTGCACTCCACGCGGTGTGCCTAAATAGCGCTCCGGTTAGCCTCAATATCACTCCGGTTAGTAATTTTGATGAACGTGTACTTGTACATTTCGGTGACATGTTGACAATCGCAAAGATCATTGCTTGGAACTGACAAACTTCGTATTTTTTTATTCTTATTTATTTATTTATTTATTTATTTATTTACTTATTAGATCGACGACAGGTGAATAATAGGTGACGAACTGTCCACCTTAGTGCCAGATAGCTGTACACCAGTCTGATGTTCTATTTTTGACTATTTATGGAAACAACTGTCTCCCTTTGGTACAGAGTTGAAACTCTGACTGTTTTACGGAGTCTTCTTTCTTTCATCTCATGTCCTATTCTTGGCATTGGTATCCCAAAGAGTAATAAATTTCACTTTTTTAGAAGAATGCTTTGTATATTCAGCGGAAATAGCTGTACACTTTATTTTAGGTTTCCACGTTCAGCAGACTTAACGTAATAGCTAGAACTCCCAACAATTGAACCTTACATTTCGCCTGTTGGGTTATATTAATCAGAATAAACAGCTTTTAAGGCTTCTTTGTGTCACATTCACTGCTTAACTATTATAATCATGTCAGTGAGGTCTGCGTGGAGCCGAGAGAAGCAGACATGCCCCACGCGAGGAGCTGACTGAAATAACAGCCTTGGGTACTTTGTTGGCTTGATCTTACACTTTGGATCTAATCATGATAGCTACACCATAATACTTGAATCTCGTTGGTTTTCAGCACGGCCTATTTTTTTTAGCCAATTGAAGTGCGAGCAGCAAAGGAGTTATATAAAAAAGTGTCTAAAAGATGTCAAACCTGGTAACATTATCAAAAATCGTCTTTGAAAGAGAATAAATTGACGCGCTATGAGCCAAATCAGCATACTGAAATTTTTGAATGTATACTATTACAGACAATACGGACTGAATTGGACTCCACTTAAATTTGTTACCATATACAGTCTTTCCAGTGCCGGTAAAATTCTTAGTGTACCTGAAGGAGGCTGGCATGGGTCTGTGCTTTTATATTCTTCATTCTGTTGAAGAGGCGCCAAGACATCCCCTCTCGCATGTGCGTTCCCCAAATGTCAGTCTACCGGCAGGCTAGATGTGGTACAGGGTATTGGTACAAGTTTCTCGTGAATTGTGATTTCCTTAGTAACCGTGAGCCACGATTTCCAAAATATTGATGTGTAAAATGAGAAATGAACGTTCAACAGGTCAATCCGTTCCGTTGCAAAGCGAAGGAAAACCTCCAACGCTTTGTGGGTGTCTTCTTTGATATTTTAAGTACAAGCACAGGAGCTTCGGCTCTTCGGCTATGTTTTAACACATTGTGAAACTTTAATAGGACCTAGCAGGAGTTTAAATGCACAAAGACAACTGAACTAAGTAGACAAACGAGTGTAAAGCAAACAAACGCCCAAACACAACGCAACCGAACAAACAGATCGGCCGTTGGCCGTCGTAGTTCACGTTTTCTCGAATGTGCAGAATGTGGCTATTTCACGTATGTTTTATAAGGAACGGCAAAGAAATGAGCTTACACAGCCATTGTACTCGTTGCCGTTGCGGTTTGCCCTTTAAACTCCCTAAAACCGAATAAACGGCAAAATAATGAACAGCCAAACGAGCACAAAGCAAACGAAAGCCCAGCGGAACAAAAAGGGCTTAGAGTGCAAAAAACATCTCTGCTACAGAAACGTCTTTTGAAAATCAAAACATATAAAATGACTTACAAACGACTTATCCAAGACGAAAACGAAACCGACAAACGGACTTCTAACAGACCAACTTAATTTGACTAACAATAGACGGACCTAAAAACCGACTAATTTAATTAACAATAGACGGATCGAAACCGACCAATGACTGATGACAAACTTTACACGAGTCTTTCAGCCAATACCATCATGGCTAAACTGACCAATAACGTTGAACGGACCAGACTTATAACATCATCGACTGACAACCACTATTCACTTGACTCTGAAGATGACTTCCGCTCAGGTTGTCGAAACGTCAGTCACCAACAACAGTTCTTTTCAGAAATACCCTCATCCGGACGATCACACTATACGAACTTTGTTTGACTTTGTTGTAGCCTCCAACGCAGACACTCGTAGTGCTCGTCACGCGTTGCGTGGGAGGCTAACTTTGTTGCTGAGGACAGGTCTCAAAAACCGCTAATTGCAACAAGTAGGCTCGATTTCCAGCCGCTGTTCGGGAAACAAGCCCGCACTCCGCAGAAATCGAGCCTATGCAACAAGTGAACGTAACGAACAACACATCTACGCGCGTACGTAATCAAACAAACATATTCGCTCTTGGCAAATGTTTAATGAAAAGGTTTTACAGGCGGTTCATACTTTAGAGTAAAAAGCTGTGGATGGTTTTCAAACTCTTACAAATACGATCGGCCATTGATCAAAAAGCGCATCATCGACATGGCGAGAAAGAGAGAGATTGGAAAGGGTAAAACGAACCATTTCGACGTTGGCGAACTGACATATAAGCGTAGGCGAACTGATCCTAGCCTCTTGCAGGTGTTCAGTTAGTTGGGGCGCAGCGCGATAAACGGCGAGCGAAAAAATAGGGGAGAAGCGCGGCAAGAGAAAGCAAAAGAACTTCTGTGGGCAAACTTAACAAAAGGTCGTTCCGGTATACCAGGACCTGGTGTACCCTCTGATTGGTCAATGTTGACAGGTTCATCTGCTGAAAACTGAAAACCACAAGCCGGCGGTCATGTTACGGGTCCCAGTATGCGGACTATAAGTGGACGGAACGACATTTAGTTACGTTTTCCCACAGACCTTCTTTCTTTTTCTCTCGCCGCACTTCTCCCCTACAATCGTGGGCAAAAGTCCTTGGGACACTTATGGCGGTAATTTAACGAATTATTTGTGTTTTACTACTGAAGTTTGAAGAAAACGCTGCCTTCCTTTTGAAAACGCGTTACTGTTCCCCTCCCCGCCCAACACAATGTTGAAAATCAGAAGAAATTGCAGGAAGTAGTTTTCAACATTGTATGAGGGATGGGGGGCGAGGTTAGGCAGGTGAAGTAGTATTCGCGTCTGGCGAGTGCGCAAAAGCACTAAAAGAGCAAATTTGTTCTAAGACTTTTGTCCATGAGTGCAGTTTTTCGCTCGCCCCACTATGGCGAGGCCTATTGTCTACATACACTAATCGGGAAGAATTTGATAAGTCAGGTGCACTGAATACATGGACGGAAAAAATTTGAAAACGGCGGCAACAAGCAGTAGCTACGTGGGTTCAATTAAAACCTTACTACGCGCATGCTCTAGGGCGCACCAATGCGTTTCATTCTCGTCCCAATGCCACATGTGTTTTAAAACATGTCAACCACGTGACCAAAAGAAACTGTTGCATTTTACAATTTCTCTGGCCTAGTGTGGAAGGAAAACATGTGATTCGTTTTCAGAATGAAAATCCCGTTTTCAAAGTGTGAACGGGACATTTTAAGTACTTAATAGTGCTACCTCGTCCAAGTTTTCGGTCAGTTGGAACGAGATTGTATATTTTGGCATGCCTGTGCCCCTCTCATTTCTTGTAAAGAATGCACGGTCCCCCGTAACGTCCAAAGCAGAACTCGTCCTTTAGAATTGTAGCATTAGTGTAATTTCTAGTCAGACGACCAGGAACAACAAGATTTTATCACCTTTGGGAATTCAAAAGATAAACTAAGCAGTTATTCAAATAGTTTTCCCAATTGCAAAGTTTTATTGAGGTAAGAAATTCAGAAGATAGCAAAGAGTATCTTAAACCTTTTTTGTTGCATATAAGGTGGAGAACAGAAAATATAAACCAATTGGCTCACTTAGGAAACAATGAGCAAACGAACATTGTATTGTGGAGGGGAAATGGCTTGAGTGGCTTAGAATACAATAAGAATTAATTTATTGAAAAATTGACATCGCATACGAGAACACTTTCGTTGATACCTTTATTCTTAAAAATAATAACTGAAGCTAGTTCTGTTTACGCGTAGCTTTTAAAGCACAACGAATACAGTGAAATGGATTGAATTGAAATGAAATGCACAAATGATCGATGAACTTATATGACAAACCGATGCAAGAAACTGACAGATTATTTAGATAATAAATTCTGTCGAAACATTCCTTCAAACCTTACTCAGATCCCTAACATTAATTAAGTAAAACAACATAAAAGTATTATGTGACAGTCACAATACAAGTTATAGCACAAATAAATAATATCCTCCGATGTCCAGGAACTGACCCTCCCTCCGCCCAGTGGCCCTATCTGTGAAGAAGCAGTAACTAGCAAAATACTGAAACATTATCCAGTGTTCGCTTGAGCTGAAACTGTGTCAGAACTCTATGAAACAATTTGGACATTTGTTGAAGTTCTATGCCAAGGAACCGTTGGCCTAGTAACTTTGACATAGAAAAAGACACACGCAAATACTTCACCAGTGTACCACCAACCACAAATGTTTATACTGTCATTACAACCTGCCAGTGAAAATGAAGACTATATGACTGCCCGCAGTCATTGTACTGTCACCGAGGACATAACAAAGTGCCTGCTTGTTGTCTTAACACAATACTCGACCTTTAAAAGGTAGGTTTATCTTTTACTTTACTGTCATCAAATTGTGATATTTCTTTAAAGGTATGTTTCTTTGGCCTAACGGTGAGCAAAATATGTATGAATAATAACGGCTTCCCTTTTGATGAATTCCCATTTATCAGAATAGTGCTCGGGAAACGAGCTTTATGTTTGTTCTGTGGCAGAGTTGTCCCGTTCATCCATCCCTTCAGTCTTCGCAGCTATTGCTCTTTACTATTTCGCCTCTCCCTACAAAGCACAGAAAAACATATCAATACACCTAAATTCATAAATGGCCGCCACGTAATGTTTTGTTTTACTAGGATTTCCCATATGCTAACGAAATCACGCTAATAAGCACTGTATTAAATGTAATATCTTAAAAAAAATTGAGTTTTATTCAAACTAAATTTAAGACATTTCCTTGTGAGAACCAAACCTAAACAACCTTCCTTTCACGTTTTGCCAAAATTGAATTGACATTCAGTCATTGAAGATGCAATAACAAAATTCTAGCGCTTCATACACATTTCTAACTGACTGCGACAACAGACATTAGCAGTGATGCTAGCCTGCGAACGCTGACGTATTTCCGGCTGTCGCTTGTCTCCGCCGAAAATAACGTCTGCGAACCCGAGCTAGGAAACGATTTCTGTGACGTAGGAATTTTAAGCCAATCACAGTTTGGCTCAAGCAGCCCCAGAACTACTGCGCGAGGTATTCGCTGCGAGGAGCACTCGAGTTTCATTCTATCATGGAATCTGATTGGTCAAGGAGAAGCAAAAGTCATTACGACACAGAAATCGTTTCCTGGCTCGGGTTCGCAGACGTTATTTTCGGCGGAGACAAGCGACAACCGGAAATANTTGGTCAAGGAGAAGCAAAAGTCATTACGACACAGAAATCGTTTCCTGGCTCGGGTTCGCAGACGTTATTTTCGGCGGAGACAAGCGACAACCGGAAATACGTCTGCGTTCGCAGGCTACAGTGATGCATGTGGACATGGTTTTAGTTTCCTCATGCAGAAATGCCAGAAAAAGTGATCTAAATTGTAATTCGACACGGAGCTACTTCAATCAATAACAAGGAAAAGCTTCCTGGCTGCTACACAAAATAAAGAAATTTGTTAAAAAAAATCCCACCAGCCGTTCTTGATACCTTGTATTAATTTTAATAGGACTTGACAAAGCAAATGTTCACTTACCTGCAGTCTGCTTCTCTTTGAACGCTTTGATTTTTGCTTTGAAAGAAAGCTTTTCATGGATCTTGATGATAGAGAACTAGTTTGCCGCACACTTTCTCTTACATTTGATTTGAGGTCTCTAATTTTAATGCTCTCCTCCTTCTTAGGACTCTCATCCGGAAGAGGATTACTGTTATTTGAATTCGTTTGTTTGTCAAAAGAATGTTCTCTGGACTCAGGAAGGTCTTTGCTAACTTGACGGCTGACTTCTTTGTCTTGTAAATTTGTTTGATTGCCACTATTGTGTGAATCAACGTTATCATTCCTTAAGATCCCCGGTTTGTTCTCAACTGATACATAGTCTGATGACAGTTGCAGCTCCCTTTTAACTAAGCTTCTCTCCTGATCGTCTTCTCGTGGTTTGACTTCATTAGAAAGATCACTTGCAGAATCTTTGGAATCTGCTTCCTTGACAGCAACATCTCCTGGTACCTTGATGCATGGATTAAAGACATGTTACTACTTGATATAATGAAAAAGAAAAAAAAGAAAGTAAATAATGATAATAATAATGACAATAACAATAACAATAACAATAACAATAACAACAACAACAACAACAACAATAATAATAATAATAATAATAATAATAATAACAACAACAACAACAGTGTTTTACGTAGCTCGATCTGTCCACTTTTGGTCATTGAAACCTATAATAAATACCACTAATATATTTGCAAGCTGTTTAAAATCTGGGGCGGGTCCAGGAAAATTAGAAACCTGCAGTACTACCCATTGCAGCAAAAGGAAAAGCTTCTGTCATGACTAAACGCCAGGAATCTTTAAAANGAAAGATCACTTGCAGAATCTTTGGAATCTGCTTCCTTGACAGCAACATCTCCTGGTACCTTGATGCATGGATTAAAGACATGTTACTACTTGATATAATGAAAAAGAAAAAAAAGAAAGAAAGTAAATGATGATAATAATAATGACAATAACAATAACAATAACAACAACAACAACAACAACAATAATAATAATAATAATAACAACAACAACAGTGTTTTACGTAGCTCGATCTGTCCACTTTTGGTCATTGAAACCTACAATAAATACCACTAATATATTTGCAAGCTGTCCAAAATCTGGGGCGGGTCCAGGAAAATTAGAAACCTGCAGTATTACCCATTGCAGCAAAAGGAAAAGCTTCTGTCATGACTAAACGCCAGGAATCTTTAAAAACATAAACAATTTCCAAGTCAAAAAGGGGCATGAGGTTTCTGACCCATGCTTCCCCCCGAAAAAAAACCGTTTACAAAAGTAGTCTCTGGCTCCTTGCTATTTACCAATTTGAAGTTGCTGAGGGTAAATTGACCATCATAGTGGGTTTGTGAAGATGACATTTCGTGATTTTATGGCAGCTAGAGAAGTGTAAAAGGCTTTCCGAAACTTTTTTAGTTTTCTACAGTTCTGACGAATCTCCTTAGGCCTGTACTATCGTTGAAATTTCAGCAATGGTGAAATTTGGCCAGGAAATATGTTTGTTTTATGAGATCATATTTGTTCTAGCGATCACTGTCAAACCTATTCTCTATCTTTCAACGTTCTTCCAGAGGTGAAAACTTATAACTGATTTTTTTTCCCATCAATTCTTGAAGTGTTACAGATTTTCAAGCAGGTCAAAATGCTCGGTGGTTGGAAGGCCAGAAGAATACATGACAAGAACAAGAACATAAATTTTATAACACGACTACGTTAGTTTAGAGGGGCAATGTCTAAAATAAACCAGTGGGATATCTATTTAAAATTACTGCCACTCCTATATTTTTTAAGTATTGCCTGGGCACTGTCCCAGATCATCCTACATGACAACTCTTGACCGCTATTTTGCAGTAACATACATGTAAGAGATTAGTTTTCTTTTCCTTCCATGTTTCATTTCATTTTCAGACACGAGTACACATTAAGTCAGGTGTCAATCAGAACTGTGTGCTTTTGAGAAGTTTACAATGACTTGTGGGACTTTTTTTCATTCACTACAGATTTTCAGTCATGTAATAAATCTCTTATTAACCCAGCTTGTTTGGAACCGTACTGAGAGAATATTAGTCCTCGGACTTTTTTGTAGGGACTCTACTTTGTCCATACTTTCAAGACAGTACAGTACTCCGTTAGCTGTATTAACTTTCGTTCGTACTAAGTAGAAAAGAAAATTAATAAAACTAATTGACAATAGTGGTTAAAAGCCATTGATAGTATTAGTTCATTTCAGGAATGATTTCAAGGGTTGTAGGACTGAAACGAGAACCTAATAAATATTATAGAAAAGAGAAAAAAGGATTTGCTAATACACAAAGATTGATGGCCAAAGCGTTGTTTTAGTTATTTCCATATGAAAAAAATATTAATACCGTTTTGAATAAAATTACAATAAACTCATGAATTAATTTATATTTATGAACAATACAAAATGTTTCGTGTCTTCAGATTCTGATTTAACATTACCTACTCCTACTGGCTTAATATTACCATGACAACAGTAACAGAGAACAACTAGAAGGTGTATTATGTCACAAAAGCCCAAGTTTAACACTTACTGTGTAAATGTGAATTTCTACTCCAATTGAGGGATAGAAAAGCAGAATTCCAGTAGTACCTAACTAAGGTTTAAATCCTCCACAAAGTAAAATGACATCACAGATTATACCAAATACAACACACATGCACTGCTAATTTAATTGGAAGATCATTTCATAAAAAAAAATTGTGCACAACAGACACCCTTTGGTTGCAGCATTTATTGTTGTATTTGTTACATAAGTATATTTTGTGTTACTACCTCACTATTATTCCTGTACTTCACTATTTTCCACTACATTAACTAGCACACAGCACTGTAAACACTAGCCATAACTAAATTAAAATTCAGTTCCTCAATTTATTGTACTAAACAAAATAATTCAGTGATATTATAAGTTTAAAGATGGCATCTACAGGTAATCTACAATCATCTGAATGTTCTATCTGCAGTGTCATCCATTTTATGAAGTTTTTATGAAGCCCAGGTTGCCAGCCCAGGGTTAAGCTGGAAAACATTCATCTTAATCTTGGTTTAAAATTTAGTAACTGGTCTTGATGATACATGTATATTAGATCAACAGTTAAACTTTGCCAGATTAACAACTAAATGTAAGGGGATTTGGTTATAATGATCTCAGGGATGTCTCACAAAAATTAGTTCTAGATTCCAAGACCAAGAACTGACTACCGTAAGCATGGCTTCAGTTTCAGTAGTGCTTTTCTATAGAGCAGTCTTTCTAAAGAACCACACTCTATTGATTTCTTAGGCAACTTTCCGTTAACTTATCAGTTGGTTTTCTGCATTAACTCAGCCACATGCTAAATATAAAAAGCAAGGTTATAAAGAATTGTATTTTTGATATTATACTGACAATTTTAACTGTTCATTCATGATCATTAATTTTAGTCTAAAAAAATCTGCGGCTGTATTACAGCTATGATCTTTACTTGCCTACAGATGAGTTAATTTGATTGTTTTTGCTACAATGTTGATGAACCTTACATGCAAGTCCATAAAGATTCATGATCAACATTACAGTGCATGAATTTAAAATAGGAACCTCCGCCTATATATGCTACCAAAGCACCTACAATTTTATAAACTGCATGTACCAACAGACTGTTAATTAAAAATAATTAATTTATATTATATTTTATTTGTAGATGAGATAGAACATCTTACTATGTGATTAAAGTACTTCAAGAAAAGTGTTTAAATTTAATTACTCTAAATGTAGCTTTGGCCACCAATCTGGGTGTTCCGTTACTTAATCAGGAGGTTGAAAATGTTCATTAGTGAAGAACTGTGATGCTACAAAAGCTGATTTCCAGCTTTTGTAGCATCAGCAATGAAATAACAACTACTGAATGCATACAGCTGCCTGCATTTTGCTTTTACATGCTGAAAAGTTCTCAGTAAGGGAACAAGCACCTTTTTGGCAAAACCTATCCAGATAACCCGAAGACTACATACATGACTAGCACTGACAATCTTGCCATCCCAGTTGGGCAGCAAGGATAACTAAACAACCTGACTCAAAAACAATTTGATTCAGACAATTCTTAAAAACACTGGGATTTTAACCGAAAGGGTAGCTTGTTCCCCTAACTGATTTATTAAGAAACCTTATCTGTATGCTCCAGTTTCTTCAGTTCCTCATCAATTTCATGTTCCGAGACCTTGATATTAATGGGGCTATCAGCATTCCCAGCAGCTGCATTCAATTTCTCATATTTGTCAGAGTTTGTTGATTTCTCATCCTCTGTTTTACTCATCAGTTGCCGCTTTTCATTCTTTAAATGTTCTTCCTCACCTTGTATCTGATCAGGTGATTTGTCTTGAGGGGCATGAGGAACTGGAGGCTCTTGCCGCTTCACCTCACCTTCAACTGCTTCAACAGGTTCCTCTGCCTTCCTCACCCCTCCATTTGTAACAGCATCAATGGGTTTTATATTCCCAGGCTTTTCTTCGCCAAGTTTTGCATCGTTAACAACTTTTTCATCTTTGTTGACAATTTTGTCTGCTCCTAGACCAACCTACATGAAAAAAANCTAAGCATGAACCAATTCTTAAGTGTTAAATATTCTCGCACGAGCAATCCCCGGACTTCCGGTTGAATCGCACATGCCAAGCTGAATAAAACACAGAACAGAAAAAAAAAAAAAAAAAAAAAAATGGGACAAACATTGTAAACTGATTATTGTTTTGTGATCTTGATGCATATCTCACTGACAACAGATCAAGAGAAATAAAAAGAAAAGTCAACACAGCAACATTTCTTCACACCTGCATCATTTTTGTTAGATACTGTCCAACCAAAGAAGGAATCACCTAAACTTAACATAAGCTAATGAAAAGAATAACCTCTACTCTTGCACACAATATAATAATCCTGCACATGTCTATTGTAGTACTCTTTTTCAATTTAAGCAAGAAAATTAATGAAAGTAAAGCAACTTGACATTTTGACAACTTCATGTCATCATTGTCACATGAACAAATTAAAAATAATGGCAAGGGATATTTATAGAAATTAGGATGCGAGGATGTAAATAATTAGCAAAGGTGACATGAAAGCATTCACGACAGGTAAAAAGTTTCGTGCAAATGGAATCCACTTGTCTGTTCAGTTTTGGTCTTTTACAGTTCTTAATCCACAGCATTTCAAAGATCAAACATTCGATTCCATTTGGATTCCATTCCCGCAGAACTTATTTCTTTTATTTTTACGAATTCTGTGGAGCATCAAGATGAGCAGGGCTAAAAATTAACTTCAGTGCTTGGTGGCCAGTTGGGCCAGTTTCCTTGAATTCTTAGTGGCCCATCCCAAAATGAAGTAGCCCTTGATTTCCTCTAGTTTAAAATGAAAAACTTAAATAAACGCCCCATGGGTTTTAACGGAGCATTAACTAAAAGGAAAGAACACAAAAAGGTAATACCCCCAGTAATGCCATGAGACATTTTTCGTTAACATTTCGGCCATTCATTTGGGACTATAAAATTATTAGAGGTGTTATTAGATTCTTCCTCAAAGTCACTGTCATCATCTACTCCAGAATCTCTTTCTTCATCATCACCTGTGCAACTGTTTTGAAATGGCCACTGCCTTTTGTTCTTTTCATAATTTTTAGTACTTTCGGAGACATCTTCCTTACTTTTCACTCTTTTTGGCGGCGGCAGCTCACAACCGGGGTGGAATCTCCACTTTTTTTGTCTCAAATCTATTCTTGGTTTTCACCAGTCATGTGATCAAAACTAAAAATCGTAACCATTCAATAAATAAATTCAAGAATCTAGGATATGATAGATGATTGCTATAT